TATGGTGCTTCATGAACAGGTTGCTTATTTAAAATCGGCATGGCAGGCCTCAAAGTCAGTTTATCATTACATTGGTGGCAGGTCAGTCACACGAGCGGATGCCTGGAATAGTGAACCGGTGAAGTCCCTCCTTTGTCCGGAGTTGGCACCCACACATGCGCTGACAGCAGCAGAGGAAGGGGATGTTGCGAAACTGGTGAATGAACTAATGGGCGAACCTGAAAACAAGGAAGGAACTTACTATAAGTTTATTCTTAACGGTTTAAGCCCACTCCTGCCTGGCTGCTCCATCATCAACAGCTCGAAGAAGCACTATTCATTAGGGGAATCTCCGGATATTTCGATTCGTATCCAGGGAGTGCGGCAGGCCCACAGGCTAGCAACACACGGGATTATTGAAGTAAAAAGTCGAAAACATGATGTCGATACAGCACAGTGGCTTGGACAGGTCAAGGATTATGTTCTGGATCTTTTGCAAGCCCAGCCTACCAGAAACGATTTCTGGGGATTTATCACCAATGTTAATGAAATCTTGTTGAATGTAAGAGGAAGCCTGGCCACCGAGCGGACTCCCCATATCACCTCTTGAAATACGGTCCACTTTCATGGGTACAGATGATTCACTACATCCGTGGCGTCACTAACACCCCTAACATGGGCTGCAAGCCACTTCCATTTTCGCCGACTTTGGGACTTGCAGAGGAGCTCATTGGCGGCAGTGATAAATGGAGAATAGGACGGTTTACAGTCCCAGAAAAGCCTGATTCAGACATGGTTGTGAAGGTTTCTCTTAGGAAAGCAGGACACTATCATATCCAAGAACTGAAGATTCTTCGGCACCTCAAAGGATGTATGGATATCAGCTCCAATATTACCAATGGCATATGCAAACTAGTATGGGATCCTGCTCGCAAGCTCGGTAAAAATGAGTGCCTGTTTAATGATATCGACCAAACACCACGGGTCCAATTTGGTCTAACTCCTGCCGGAAGAACCCTTCGCTTGGATGCCTTCAAAAAGATGGATGGTTTCCGGAAATGTATCTCAGGATTGTTGGATGCGCTCCAATGGTTACATCAAACAGCAGGCGTCATCCACCGGGACATCCGTGTCGCAAATGTGGTACTCAATCGATCAACACCGACTCCAGTGCTTATTGACTTCGACTGTGCTATTCAGTTGCCTGCTAGCAGCGACACCACGTATAGCGGGGGGCTCATTTGCGTTCCCGAACGGGTAGTGGAGGGTGCAATTAAGGAATCTCTCCCTGTTTCCGATGTAACCTACAACCCCCGAATTGAAGATGACTACTGTGCATTGGTACTACTTGTTCTAGAGCTGGTTTTTCCAAAAAAATACCAGACATTCCCGAAGAAGAGAGTAAACACCGACGGTAACAGGAGCTGTCTTGCTGCCCTGAGCAGGTTGCATAAGAATCTTGCGGTGAATCCAACATGGGGGCATTTGTGGGACAAGGCAAAGCGGGGGGCCATTTCTGAACTGCACGATCTTGCGAGTGTTGCACTTTGGATTGAGGAGGCCTAGATTTCTCACCCAACTATCATGCTTATGGAGAATACATCGGGATGTGTTTAGGAATCTGGGGCGTGCATTATGCTCTGTCGAGGCTGGCAAATATTCGCCGAGGAAGTCTTTTCAGTAATGTGTATAATGCAATTAATTTATGGAAATTGATGTTTCGTAGCTATGTACATCGACTCGGTTGATATAATCGCTACCCCGTCATCTGTACGAGGATAATCTACATTAGGTGCTCAGGGAGTACTTGAGGCATGTTTGTACCGCGAGCTCTTAAATCACCACTTCCAAGCTAGCTGATTGGCTCGGTTGCTGCTATAGAGGTATGTATGTAGCAAGAGCCAAACGTCCAATGAAGGAACATACGAATAGAGGTCGAGTGCACAGAGAAGGTATGAGAGAACAACTTCATGTTAGGCAGTGAATACATATGAGTGTATTGAACTTAGTTAGCTCGAACAAGTAGGAATTTGAACAGGATACCGTATTAATTCGCGAGTAAGAAAGTACGACTCGGCAGGACAGTATTAAGTAGTGTATAAGACAGGGGTAAAACAGCCTAATTTTGGCCGAGATATCCGAATCGTGTTTTAGACAGCAAATTTTTCTTATAGGGCAGTAGTATAGGAATGTCAACGGTGACTGGCGCTGCCGGTTTCTTTCACTCATCACCATCACGATGAGATATCACAATCGCACTATGCTGCAAATCTCGACAATTGGATGGAGAATAAATATATAGCTTCCCAACAGCGAATTCTTATGACCAAATTGGTAGCCACAGCATGGGAGTCGGTATCTGCCAACCGTGATATGATTGTAAGCTCAACCTTATAAATCCTCCTGAATGTATACTTAGCTAATACCCCTTAAACTCGCTCATTTCGCAAATTTGGAATTGCTGTCCCAATCGATGGCACGGCAGACTCGGAGATCCATATTGAAGGAATCTCAAACTATACAGTCCCTGATTGGAAAATACTGTCTGAGTCTGAAGACCAACCCAACCTGCCAACAGACACGGAGAATGAAAGTTCTGACCTTGAGATTGTGGATGATGAGGAGGAAGCGGATAAGAAGTGACACTGAGCATGGAGATTACATCACTAAAGAAGAGGCTGCGCAATATGCTACAATTACGCTTGGAGAGAAGATCGTGTAAAAAGATATCAATTATGCTACTGTCGGTGTTGTTCCGGAATGGTTTTTTTGTTCCGGATTTTTTTTTGTCCCCCCCCTTCTTTTATAAGGAAGTACCCCGTGTTTAAGCTAGTATCATATATAAGACAGTAAATTTAAGGCCCCTCCGACCGCCCGTTTGTTAGTAAGACAGCATTCTTACTCGCGAATTAATACGGTATATATACATGTATGAACGTACATCTAAAGGAGGTTGTGAAGCATGCCGTATGTGTGAAGCACGTCATATGAGTGAAGCATGCCATGAAGCCGCGATATGATGTGCGAGTATGAGTGAAGCATGCAATATAAGTGCGAGCCGTTGCAAGTGGTAAAGCAAGGAATGGGCGGAATGAACGACGGAATTGGACGGCATTCTAGCAGCTGCCTTTGCGTATGTGTGCGCTGTAGGGGAATCGGTGTTGGTAGCAACGTTGTTCAGTGTTGTCGTCTTGGGTGCCGGGATCTGTGACTGTGTCTGTGTCTCCATCGTTTTCGGTGTGGTGTCCATTCCGACCGTCCACCAGCCCTTGATTCTCCTTTTCGAATATTCTGATACGCTACTGCTCTATCTTGTACTTCCTGTGGAGTTTCCATTGGCTACTACCCCATGTTCATTATCCTAATTGTAACCTCCCTATCTAGCCCCTCTCGCTCCTCTGATATTGCTCCTTTCTCATCTTCATTGGGTAATCTGTCAGACCTCTCGCGTTGAGCCTTACTGAAGTTCATACTGTCCTGAGTTGTAGCAGCACATCTTGGACCTGTTCATTCTGTGTAATGATGTCTTGGTCGCGATCTCGGCCATCTACGGCGGACTAGGCTAACGAAAAGGGCGTATATATTGAGAGGCATGATTGATCTTAAGTCATCCATGACGTTACAGTTAACTTTCGTGATAAGCATATGGTCGGGACCGGAGGGTATATGCTTATAGCGAATATATGCATATACCGAGAGAAAATTACATACAGATGTTGTGAGGATTGCAAAAAGACCCGTTTAAGTGCAACCCAATTATGGGAGACATCAAAGATACCCATGGCAAAACCCTCAACGGATCAGGAGAAGGTAGAAGGCTTCCAAAGGCACCACTTAGAGTTAATGATCTGGAAGAAAGGGGTCATTCTTGGGTCATTACAATAGCTTCTCCTATAGTATATCGGGAGGAGGGCGATAACTCCTACATTGCCCAAATCAGGAAAGCATTGAGCAAAACATCTAATAGCTCTGCACCAGGACCAGATGGAATCAATTATAAGCTCTGAGGCTTATAGAAGATTGTGATCTAGGCAAGGCAGTCTTGAATGACATAGCTAGGACAGTGTGAGGGCCAGTCAAACCCCCCCCCCCCCCCCCCCTTGCGATGGCGAGAAGCATCGTGGTCCCCATACCAAAACCAGGGAAAGACCATTCAAAAGTTAATAGATGTTGGCCCATCACTAGAAGGGCAATCTCGTGGTGAGGACTGTTGGAGGGTGTAACCGCTAGGACAAAACGTGATCACTGGGTGCTAGGTTTGCCCAAACACCGACAGTATACAGATGACGCTCGATACAAGCATACCAGATATAAGCATATATTGGATACAAGCATACCTCCGCCGGTCCCACATAGTAAATAAGCATATTTTGGATACTAGAATATTCTTATTTTTTTCGCTTAGTCACCACACATATGCTTGTATCTAGCGATACACTAAGCTACAAAGAGAGGTTTATCGATAAGAAATAACCTAGTCTGGTTGGCACAACAGAGGGTGTAGTGCCAACCAGACTAGAAATAACCCCGCTCTGCAACGTTACCATACAATAACATCAGAGAAGCTCAATACACAAGTGCGAACATCATGGAGCTACAGGATGTGCTCAACCGTGAGAAAAAACGAATCGAAATTCTCGAGATTCAGCGCCGGCGTCAACATGTTCAGTGTAGGATCACTGACTTTTTGGGTCGTCTTGGAACTCCTGGCTCTTCCTCCTCTTGAGATTCTGGACCCTGCACTTCCGTATATCTATTTATTTGTCTCTTGTATGCTCCCGTCATATTCGTGGTACTATTCCGCAGCTTTTCCGAGTTTATTCCATACTTGCCTATTTTCTCGTGACATAAGAATATATTGGTTATAAGCATATTCCCCTCGGTCCGAACGATATGCTTGTATCGAGCGTCATCTGTATTGTACGCTCACAAGGACCACAAATAGTGTGTCTCTCTATCAGCGTGACCAAACATACTACACTTCCTCATAGGAGAAAGCAGGGTTATATTTTGCAAGACACGGGTGCATGGTTTAGGGGTATAACATCTCATTTGCAAGTTGACTTGATTTGAGAAGGTCCGGGGTTCGATTCCCCGTGCTTCCACTTTTGCTCCTGAAAGTGTAAACGAACCAAAAGCTTGTACACCGGCAGCGGCACGGGCTGCCAAGCGGGGTTGATCATACCCAGTCGGGTGGACCAACGCACCCCTAATTTCCCAGCTTGCCCCCAGGATATACCTGCCGCCAGCAAACGATGCGCAGCCAACCAGACTACCTAGAGGCCATATTGTGATTTTCGTCTTCAGCACAAGGCAAGGAAACTCGAGAACAGAACATGTGTACGCCTAGCTATCATAAGTCACTGAGGCGACAGAGCAAGTTGCATTTATATAGGTAAGAGCATTGTCATGCCCTAATTTACGCACTCAGAACTGACCTGCCATATTTTGCAGCAAGTTCGGTCGTGCCTGCGATCTAAATCTGCCATGCCTCCGACATCGACACTGCTATGCCTCCGACATCGACGCTGCCATGCCTGCGATCTAAGCCTGCTATGCCTCCGAATCGACGCTGCCATGCCTCCGACATCGACGCTGCGTGCCTCCGACGGCTGCCAGGAGAACCTCAGTTCCTGCCCGGATTGTCAGGAGGCAGGCTACTTACTTTCCGTAGAGCTATGTTAGGGGCAGGTACAGTAAGATAGTATGGTGATTTGTGTTTCTCGCATAGTATAAGCTTTTATGTACATAAACGTTTCGAAATACTATAGACTTTTATAATGCTTGATTTCAGGTGCACCCTCAACCAGGCGAACCATGTTGAACCCTTGATTGCACGTAGCAGGCCTCCGTTGTAGAGAAGCCTTCAGAACCCTATTACTCAGGCGTAAACACTATTTGACTGCCAGGCACTATTATTGACCTTGCTGGTTGCAGAACCTCACGAGCATATTTTGCTAAGTTTCGGGTTACTTGGCGATAACCCGTGGCCTTGGCTTTTTTTTTTCTTTTTTTCTAAATACTCTTTACTCTTGTTCGGTCCCAGTAAGGGGACCATGAAGAGCCACCCGGAAACCCGGGTGGATTCAGGACAAGGCAAGTTAATCTGCCAGGTCCGGCGCGCGGATCGAGCTGCCCAGCATGCTACATATCACATAGTTTGCTTTCGAGAGGTTCAATGTTTGCGATCAGGGAGAGTTTGTCCTTAGAGCTGCCGTGATATGCTCCGCAAATCTTTCGTAGGGCCTGATATTCAAGTAGTTCCATGCTAGAAAGCCGAGGGTCACGATGAGCGGATGCTTTGTACCAGAGTTCTGCACCCCAAAGGAAGATTGGCTGAATACAGCTGTGTACAGAGATCTGAAAGAGGTGGGAGACATGCCCCCATTGCTATTGCCTAGCCTTAAAAGCATCTTGAGGGCCCTTTCTGCTTTTGTGGTCCGAGCTGAGATGTATATGCAGAATTTTTTTTTTTTTTTTTTAAAGACTTAGTACTCCTATGCAGCCCCAATAGTGGGGCTATGAGGAGCCACACGGAAACCCGGTGGATTCAAGGGTGAGGCCAGTTAATCGGCCAGACCCACGCGGAATAGATACAAAGACAAAGATAACTGACGAACTGTAAACAAAGAAATGAACTAAAATAACTGAACTAAAATGAGGACTAGAACGAAGGAAATTCGTAAATGATAATGGACTAAGCCGTGAACTGAACTGCTCCTAAGTGAGTTCTTTATATATTAACCCGAAAAAGGTCTCCGTGGCCTCGTAACTATCCTCCCCTTCCTTTCTCCAATCCGCCTTGTCGAGCTCTTCCCAGCTGCTCCTTTCCCCCAACAGGGCTCTCCGGTGTCGGTTGAAGCGTGGGCAAGTAAAGACGATGTGCTCTCCTGTCTCGGTGGGGTGTCCACATGCGCACTCTGCTGATTCTGCTTTGCCGACGTGATGTAGCCAGCTCTTCTGTGGGCCTCTGTTCGTGCGTGTCCATGTAAAGGCTGAAAGGGCATGTCGATTCCACTCCGTTCTTCTGGTCCCATGTCCGGCTCTCGTTCTCGCTTCCTTACGGGTGGCTTTGGAGGACGCGCGGAGACCCCCTTCTGTAATGTATATGCAGAACCTTAGGTTATTGTCGATGATCATACCTAAGGTTGTAATAGACTTTGCCTTGATCTGGGAGCCAAAATCTAGCCTCTCGTTCTTAGCTGGATCCCATGTTAGATTGTCGATTGCTGCTGCCTCTTCCAAATACTGGTCCACCTTGCTGACGATCTGCCCATGTTCGAAGGCTGTAAGCTTGGAGGTGATGATGAGGGGGTTGATATCGTCTGCATAACTGAAGAGGTAAACGTGAGGTTTGGGGAGGATACGAGGCTTGCGACTTATGGAGGGACGGAGGTTGGTGAGTTGGATGTCCTGGCAAAGGAGTTGTGTTCGAGTGAGTGTCCTGGAGATGACGAGTAATCGGAAAAAAAGCGGGTAACCGGATTTTAACGGGTTACCCGGGAAACGGGTTCGAAGTAGTCTGGTTGGCACCCAGACTAGGTTCGAAGCGGGTTTGCCCTGGGATGGGCCTGTTTCCGAAGCGGGTTGGCGACTAGGGAAACTCGCCCCGACCCGACCCGTGGCGCACGCTAGCTGACTCAGACCACCCACCTGATGAGCAAGCTCGAAGTTCTCCGCAAGCTGAAGAATGGGCTAAAGCTCGAGCAAAAGAACGAGAATAGCTGAATTGATATGGAGTATACACCAAAATCAACAGATCCGATATACCTTAAAGAACTCGAATTTTTGGTCAAGAGAAATGCAGACGGTAGTATCGAGAAGTATAAAGCTCGAAAGGTTGGAAGAGGATTTACTCAAGAAGCTGGTGTCAACTATGACAAAACCTATATGCAAATGATGCATCCTGAGACCCTCAAAATCCTCCTAGTTATTGCTCTCTACTGAGATTAGGCAATCCGACAAAGGGACGTTGTGCCTGCGTACCTACAAGCTCTCCTTGAACATAATATCTATATTATCGGTATCAATGAAGAAGGAGAGGTAGAGTATTGGAAGCTTGATAAAGCTCTCTATGGCCTAAAGCAAGCAGGCCATGAATGGTTCAAAACCCTCTGCAAAATCCTTTGCACCCTTGGAATGCACCAATGCATCGGAGATGAAGGAACCTATACTACCTAAGACCATCACCTTATTATTAGAACTCATGTTGACAATCTCATTGAGATTACACCTAAAGAAAAGGACCTCGACAATGTAGAACAGTGATAGCGGAAAGGGTAGAGCTAGATAAGCGGGGAAGGCCGGCAAACATGTTGGGGATGGAACTACACTGGCAGAAAGACCAAGTTAAGCTAACTCAGACTTGCTTGATAGAAGCTATGGTAAAGCAACACCTTGGAATGGAGAATAGGAGAAAGCACTCACTTCCATTAAATCCCGATGCCTACTAAAAAGCCGAAGAAACCGATCTAAGGGTGGAGTCCAAAAAATACTAGTCAGTTGTCAGAGATCTCCTATTTGTGGCCAGAATGACCCAACCCGAGATTTCTGTACATGTGAACCTCTTAGGAAGACGAACAAAAGATGCGACTGAAAGACATCTGAAAACTGCATACCAGGTATTGAGATATCTGCACTCGACTAAGGAAGAAGGGATTACCTTGTGCAAAATCGACAACCTTGAACTGACAATATTTACTGATGCAGCATATGGGGGAGAGAAATCCCGGTCCCAGACAACCTGGCGGATCCCCTGACAAAGATACTCTCGATGCCCATAGTAATTGGCTGGAAGAAGGACTGGATACGTGCCTAACCCCCATTCTAGAAGAAGAATTGGGCGAATTCGGCTAGATGCTCAAGTTAGGGGGAGTGTTGTGAATAACTCTCGCTAGTACCTATGAAGGGTTACGGGAGTAAGCAACCAAAAGAAGGCAATTGGGAATGCGGGAATCAATACTGGGAGCCCTAATCGGAGCAATTGGGAAAGGACTGCGAAGGATAAAAGAGCTGGCCAGTACGCAGGAAAAATATCTCTTTGGAAGGTGAGCACTAGGACCGTAAGCAATAAGCCTTATAGAGATATCTAGATAGCTCTGATACTTTTGAATATACACACGATTCTCTTCACGATTCCTCTACTACATAATCTCGTAATCTAACACAGAAAGGGGGGTTTCCGATGATCGCAGGGTATTTTATATGTGTATGTTTAGATGTCGGCTTTTCCATCAAAGGTGCAAGCTACTGTTGTTGAAAGACGGCTGGGGTAGTAAAGTTGGCAGCATGTGTTGTATTGAGGAGTTGAGGAGTTGATATTTGGGTATGTGGCGGTTTGTCTTATGTTTGTTTCAGGTGTTGGTGTTTCATGGCGCTCATCAAGGTCACCCTGCCAAGGGCCTAAGCTTTCTGTATATCTTAATACGTTATTAGATGCATATATTCTGGCCCAGTCACGGCAGACCTGTTTTTCATGAATAGTTAAATTAATTATCATCTAACTAAATACACACGCTGACCCTTATTATTCCACATCGCTTTCATGTCATTATCTTCATCCTCTTCCACTGACATCACTCTTCTCTCTGGTTTCGCCCCCCAAATCCATAGACCCCAGCTTATTATAGTAGAAAATTGCATCACCTATACCTCGAGCATGGCGGTGAATTGTCTAGCTGCGGGCTGCCTTGAAACAGTTCTATAACTTACTAGACACTAATCTTACGATCCACCGAAAACAATTCTATAAGTTATATCGATATATCAGAAGTTTAAGATATTATAATTTGTTTACACCAGGGACTTATACATGTTAAGGATGAGCTAGTGATCAGGGCGATATCTTATGAGAATAGGTGAGCAGCGTGAGCCGTGATTCCAATGAAGGAAGAAACGAAGGAATGGCTGAGTGCACAGAGAGGAGAGAAGCAATAGATAGGCCGCTGAAATGTGACTTGATTATCCACAGTGAAGTGGGAAATACACAAGCTATATATACATGGACAAACATCTAGAGACATATAAAGTTCACATGGAATATCATATGGAGGATATATATGTTGAGCCTTCAAGGTTATAGCTAGGCATGCGCGGAATGACATGT